GCTCAACTCCGTCCTTTCTTTCAATCCTTCTTATGTGACATTTCTTCCATTATTTACACAAACTATCTCATAAAAGATCGTGCGCATAAACCCACTGAAAGATTTGCTTCAATCAAGAGCGAAGGCCAAACAGTCATTTTGCAGGCTCATGCGGAAACCCAAAACCACCACCATCCTCTTCTTCTTCCTCTTCTTCTTCTTCTTCTTCGAGCATTCAGTGTCGCTACTACATGGCTTGCTGTCGTGGCCGCCGCCAGAGAGAAGACGAACGTGCCCAGCAGCAGGAGGCTTTAAATTCAAGTGGTCCTCGCTTCTTCAAGATCATACTCTCTGACACACTTGAATCTGGAAAGCTCGTGAGTTCACGCAGTAGCTCCACAACATTCTCCATTTCGCCTCCACCATCTCATGCCATTGTTTCATTTAACATTGCATGCATGGCTTTACTTCTCGAAATCGCACACTCATTCTGTACATGCAAGAACATTTCCTTGGTTTTGGGACGAGAAACAGCTAGTAATCCTGCTTTGAGAGTACCATACGCATAAGATGTCTTCTGACTATATCATGGAATGGTTTAAGCTTGTGGTCCATGTGAACTGGACCCAATATGTCGCAAGATTTGACCCACATCATTTGAAAATCAGATGAGAGTGAGTTCATTTGTAAAACGGAGTCATGAAGTGATTTTATTACATTTTCAATTATCTTCTTGAATTTCACAGCTCATGCTGTTCATCAAGGTCGTCTCTGGTTTGCAACAAACTGTTTAAATCTAGCAAAAAGGACAAAAATAAAATAAAATTAAAAACCTTAAGGGCAAAAATTTGAGTCTGGTCTTCCAAATGGGTCTAATAAGTTGTGCAGCGGATTCTTATTAGAAGTTGAATATGACCCGCATGTTTGGAAATGCATTTATTATTTATCACGCTATTTAGTATACTGATTTAGCAAATTAGTCCTAGCATACCTATCATTTCTCAACATTATTATTGTGAAAATGAACATTTATTAATATAGAATTAATATTGGCACTTGTACAAGGAAAGATTTCCTATATTTTCCGTCCTGTTTTTCTTTTGGCGTCTTGAGTTTAGCTGTAAATAAGTGCAAAGGATGTACCATGATTTTTCATCACAGGGAATTCCAAAAAGCTTCTTAAGAAGATATGCAAAAGATCTCTCAGGTGTGGTGCTTCTCAAGGTTCCAGGTGGTTCAACCTGGCCAGTGAAACTAGAAAACACTGACAATGACAAGGTTTGGTTGTCGAAAGGCTTGCAAAAATTCATGGAGCATTATTCAATTGGTCATAATCACCTCTTAGTCTTCAAATATGAAGGGGACTCCATTTTCCATGTGATAATATTCGATAAGAGTGCTTCGGAGATTGATTATCCCTCGAGCATCCAAACTGATGTATCGAGCCCGAAGGGCGAATCTCTCTCGCGAAAAGAGGAAAATGTCATGGAAATCGAAGATTCAGAGGGGTCCATGCTTTGTTCTTGGCCAAGTTCAAACGACTCGTCACGAGAATTTGGAGGTGCAACTTGTGGTTCTACATCATGTTCCTTCTCGGCATGACTCTCATTCCTCGATCAGTTATTTTCTAGTTCACTTCCTTCAAAGCATCTTAATAAACTATATTTATATGTTGATTGATGAAGTGTGTGGAAAATGTTGTTAATAAATTGCTTCCAATTTGAAGATGATGAAGAATTTACTACATCAAGTTCTCATTTCTTGAGTGCAGACAAAATCAAACAATTTGGAAGCAGAGTAAGTCATCTTGAGCTGGTTTTCTGTGGTTCTACAGGTCCAAGGCCTCTCACCAGTCTTGAATTAGCTAGCCAATTCAAATCGGTCCATCCCTTTTTCAAAGTGGTTATGCGGCCTACTTATGTTCAGAAACGTTTGGTAGGGTCTGGAGCTCTATTTGTTGGTGTCAATGTCGAATTCAAGCATGGTCGTTGTTTGTATTTTGTTTTATCTTCTAGTTTTCACCAAATTCATTTGGTTTGTGTAGGAACATGGTATTTTGCTTGAAGTGTTCTTGGGATAAGTCAAATTCAAATATGAATCCTATCCATATCTTGTCTGAAAATTGATGGCTTTGGTTTTTGTCCATGAGCATATATACTTCAACATTTAGATGGGAAATTGCAGGTTAAGTGGTTATGATTAATAACTTCCATTGCAAGTAAAAAAAATTGATTAAAACTCCTGAAATAAGCAAATTTTATCATAAATCTACATTTCGTGCATGTTTCTCTGGTGAGTGTATCCTTATTCTATCACCTTTCTTAATCTTATTTTGGTTGTTCAAACACCTACTGGGCAGAGTGTTCCTCGTGAGTTCTTTAGGAAATATGTCCAAAAGAACAAGCAGATTGCAACTCTTAGGTACTCAAACAGATCATGGCAGGTGAAGCTGAAGAGCTATGAGCATAGAGATATGGCATTTCTCACTACCGGTTGGTCCTCATTCGCAAGAGAAACTGGCCTTTATGTAGGAGATGTCTGTGTGTTCGAGCTCATTGATACGGACGACATAGTGTTCAGAGTCTCCATTTTCAGCAGTGTTGGTAAGGACCTAATTTATGTTGTTCGAGATGAACAATGGAAGTGTCACTTGACGCCATCTAGATTTCCTAGGAATTCAGTATTCCTAATTATGACTCCTTTGTTCAGTTCATCAGTGGTGAATCCATAAAAAGTGCGTTTTTTCTGTTTTTTTCCCTAGATATGAGCTTTCCAAGATGATAAATTCTTCTGTATGATTTGTGAGGTTCATAGTAATTCAGATGCACACTTGCTGATGGCGCCACATTCAAATCTAAAATTTTTAGGTGTCGGTCACTTGTTGCTTTATAAGTCTTGTTTCTGCTGATATGCTTTCTATTTTTAATCTTTTTTCAAATCCTAATAAACCTTTTAAGAAGTTTTTTCTTTGTCGATTGATGAGATGATGATATGGGAGCTGCCAAATCTACTCGGTTATATCTTCTGAGAAGAGCATGAAAACGATCATGCATATTGATTTGCAATCCATGTCAAATAATTTCATGGTCAATTCATGAAGAGTTCATACTGGTGCTTGTGAGAGTTCTCCTCTTTGTAATGCAGGTCGGATCCAAATCGAACAGTCTCAATGCCGAGAAAGCTCTTCAGAGCCAGCTTTCCACAGTTCTCCAAGTCTGAGCCCTGTCACTGCTCATGAAAAAGCTAAAAATTTGAATCGGAGCATCCGTTTTTCAATAATGTGATATTGCCAAATCATATTAACAGAAAATTGATGAGCCAGATCTTAAATTATCTACATCTTCTCTGCTTCTCTCATGAATTTGCATGCTTATATTATGGTCGTTGCTTCTCATATATTGGTTGGTCATCAAATTACTATGTGAGCAGAACATTCCCTGGGAGTTCATAAAGACGTACATTTGGGAAGACCAGCTAACGGTGACTCTTGTTTATTCGGACCGATCATGGGAGGTGAAGCTCCGGGTCTATTAGCGCTTCCATGTTGCTTCCTTGACAGTCGGCTGGTCCGCGTTCACGAGAGAAGCTTGCCTGTGCAAAGGAGATGTCTGCGTGTTTGAGCTCGTCGATAGGGACGATATTCTGTTCAGAGTCTCCATTTTCAGAAGTGCAGATAAAGAAGTGATTTGTATCGATTGAGATCAACAACGGAAGTGTCACACTGTAGGCTGTTTTTGGTGCCGAGAGGAACTCAAGAAACAAATTTAACTAACACTAGTCCATGCCTTCTTTATCTATACTGTGATTAATCAATGAAGAGCTCACTTGTGCTTGCTCACATAAATCTTCTTGTTTCCTGGTGATTGCAAATCAGAGAATGTAAATCTACTTGAATTAGAATGTTCCTGAACATAGTTATTGATGGGTTGGAAGAAAAGCAGGGGAATAAGAAAGAAAAGAAGAAAAGGCAGCTTGTGTGAGTGATTTTATGCTTTGAAGCTCGTTGATAGTGAGTAAGTTTGTTCTTATATTTATACATTAGTCTGGTTAGCGTTGGTTGAGCTGACCACTAAAGTAATCGTTGGGTGTTAATGTGTGATGGTGTTGTAAGATCATGTATGCTCAACTTGATACTCAATAGTCATACCTTGATTTATTGATTTATTTCATAAGACTTCCAGACAGGATGAATGGAGTGGAGAAGTATGTCTAGGGTATTTTATGTGATAAATCAATGTCACTTATGCTTGAGGGAGACTTGCATAAGATAATAATTAGGTCAGTGATGCTTTATCACACCGAGCGTTGATCCGTTAAGCAAAGGCATCGTGCGGCGACGAAGATGCGAATGTTTCGTCGTCGGATGAGGGGCATACTCTCATACGAGAAAAGATATGTGAGAAAATGCAAGACCTTCGAATGTTCCAATAAGAAAATGTGAGCAGGAGATGAAAACACTCGTTAGGAGGGACAGGGAAGACGTAGAAGAACGTGGAAGAAGAAGATGAGAATATATACGAAGTGTATAGACATGTTCTGCAGATAGAAACAGAATAGAAATGGAATAGAATTTGGAATTGAATGAAACGAAACATACTTGATTTTTAAGACTATGGAATGGTGTTTCCAATCTGAAATCCTAATGCCAAGGACCATACGCCAATCTCCATTTCCTTTGATTCTGCACGAGATTTGTCCGACCATACACAATCAAATGAAACATCGGGTGCTGAAACAAAACCAAGAACAGTATGTGGATTGATGATCAGAACTGTCACTTCATGCATGAGTACGAAGCGAAGCCACATGTATGCTCATTCCTGATCTCAACCCTTCATCGAGCCACACAACCATAAATAATCCTGCGCACAGACCCACTAAAAGATTTGCTTCAATCAAGAACAGAGGCCGCTCAGCCATTTTGACAGGCTCGTGTAGAAACCCAAAACTGCCACCGTCCCCCTCACCATCGTCTTCCTCCTCCTCCTTCTTCTTCCTTGAGCATTCAGTGTCGCTACTGCATGGCTTGCCGTCAGCGTTGCCACCACCAGAGAGAAGATGAACGTGCTGGCCCTCACTTCTTCAAGATCATACTCTCTGACACACTTGATTCTGGAAAACTTGTGAGTTCAAACTCATTCTCAATTTTGCCTTCACCATCTCGCGCCATTGTTTCATCTAACATTGCATGCATGGCTTTACTTCTCAAAAATTCACACTCATTCTGTACATCCAAGAACGTTTCCTTGGTTTTGGGACGAGAAATAGCTATAGCGATCCTACTTTGAGTGTACTATACGCATAAGCTTGTGGTCCATGTGAACTGGACCTAATATGTTGCAAGATTTGACCCACCTAATTTGAAAATCAGATGAGAGTGCTTACACTTGCAAAATGGAGTCAAAAAGTGATTTGACCCCTCTTTTTGTAAATAATGCTTTGTATTCCCAGCGTTATTCTGATGAAAACGATCGACCACCATAAAATGCATCAATGATGTCCACGGAAATTGATCTTTCGTGGAATGTGTAGAACATGACATTTTTTGTCTTTTACCAGTTCTTTTTGTATGATGAACGAGGGCCTCGAGATGACACTTGAAGTTGATCTTATAACAGGGAATTCCAAGCAGGTTCTTAAGGAAATATGGAAATGATCTCTCAAGTTTGGTGTTTCTCAAGGTCCCACATGGTTCAACCTGGCCCATAGAACTAAAGAAGTGCGACAATGGCATGGTTTGGCTGGGGAAGGGGTGGCGGGAATTTATGGAGCATTACTCGATTGGTCATGGTCACCTCGTAGTTTTCAAATACGAAGGGGACTCCATGTTTCATGTGATTATATTTGATAAAAGTGCTTCTGAGATAGATTATTCCTCGAGCAGTGGCGAGGCATCGAACCATGAGGCTGAACTTCTCTCACGAAAAAGAATAGATGTCATAGAAGTTGAAGATTCGGAAAATTTCATGCCATGTAAAAGACTGAGGGCCAAATCATATTTATCTCAGCGAAGTTTGAGCTGCTCATCACGAGAATTTGGAGGTCCGGTTTGTGGTATTATAAGTGGTGGCACTTCTGCTTACACCACTTTCTTTACTTTGATTTTTTTTCTAGTCATGAAACTTTTGAAAAGATAAGCTTTTTGTATGATCATTTTGTAGTGGTGCATATTGTGTTAACTAGTGGATGCAGAACTTATTTCAACAAATTGCTTTAAATTTGTTTCCTATGATGGTCTTTTCACCAATATGTCAATTAAAAACATGCTCAAATCAGTGTCGATTAGAATCCTCAATCCTTAATGTACAGGCATGATTAAACAATCAAGATGCGGAGAGAGCCACTCTGAGCTGGTTTTTTCTGGCCCTACACTTCCGAAGCCTCTCACTAGGCTCGAATTAGCCAACAAGTTTGAATTGGAGCATCCCTTTTTCAAAGTGGTGATGCGGCCATCTTATATCAAAAGAAGCCTGGTAAAATCCTGTTTTGATCCTCCATTGGCTTTGTCAAAGGCTAGTTATATTTGTCATTTTATCAAATGGGAGATTCCTATTGTGTTTTGTCACAACCATTCAGATTTATCAAGAGAAGTTTTCTCACTCTATTTATTTAGCTTCTGTTTAGGTAATCGTCATCAAAAGCCATCAAACAGACAATGAAGCAACAAGTTGATGAAACCGCATTCAAGTCATCGATATCGTTTTCTTTTTCTTTTTCTTCCATTCAACCTGTGGCTACTATTCATGTATATCACAAGATTAATGACTTCAGACTATGTACCCTATCCTAAATTTAATGTCTAGGAGTATAAATTGATACTTCATCTTCGTGTTGCTGGTTAAGAACGATTGCCTTCATTAGATTGTAAAGACTGTTCATAAAATTTCTGATACTAGAAAATTTGGCCATGCGTCTACATCTTGTGTGCATCTCTTGTGACTGTATGCTTATACTATGTTCTTTCTACAAATTTGTTGTTATAACTATTCATGGGCATGCAGAAAATTCCTCTCGGATTCGTCAAGAAACACATTCACGAAAACAAAAAAACTGCGACTCTTAGGTATTCAAACAGATCGTGGCCGGTGAAGATAATTTTGAGCTATTCACAAAAGCATATGGCGTCCTTCAGTGCCGGTTGGCTTGCATTTGTGAGAGAAACACGTCTGCGCTCAGGAGATGTCTGCGTGTATGAGCTCATTGATGAAAATGATATCGTGTTCGATGTCTCTATCTTTGGTAGTGCTGGTAAGTGCCTCATACTCCTGTTGATTAAGATGAACACTGGATGTGTCGCTTTAGGCCCGATTGCAAGGCCGATATGAAATTGATTTCTGCCGATTATTTAAATTTTTAATTTCCCACCTTCTTTAAATAGGAAGTCAATCAATGAATCATTCATGCCGGTGTCTATTGAAGTTCTCATTTTATTTTATTTTTTGAGAATATAGGCAAGATCAAACAGTCTACATGCCGTCCTACACGTCCAAGCCCTCTCGCTAGCCTTGAATTAGCCAGTAAATTTGAATCCAAGAACCCCTTTTTCATGGTGGTGATGCAACCTACTCATATTAAGAGACACATGGTAAGATCCTGGCTGTTAATTTACCGCTAGACTATCTCAAATCTAGTCATGAATGCTAGCTATATATCTTGCCTCATATTAACATTGGTCCAACGATGAACAATAGATAAAAAACAAAGGAAGAGGTATTGACTCTGTTTAATTCGATGGTCGAATTGAAAAATTAGCAAATTGAAATGGAATGAAAGAACGTAGAGGCACACTGTATTTTGTTAATTTTCAACTTTTGATCCAGTACGTATTCGAGTGGTCACATCTTTCCTTATTTCCCCTAATCACCGACATTTTGCCTTTTGACTTCAAATTGCAATTAAGATTGATGGCTTTCATTAGTTAAGTTTTTTTCATTAGCAAATACTATGCCATAAACCTTCATCTTGTGTGCTTTCACCATAAGCACACGCAACTAACAATTGATTATGGTTTCCTTCGACGTACATGGCCAGAGAGTTCCTCGTGGATTCATCAAGCAACACGTTATGGAAGTCAATCAAACTGTGACTCTCAGGTATTCGGACACATCATGGCCGGTGGATTTCAGTTTCAATCGACGTGGGCGAGCGGGGTTCTTCTCCTCTACCGGCTGGTCTGCATTTACGAGAGAAACATGCCTGCGGGTAAGAGACGTCTGCGTATTTGAGCTCATCGGTGGCGGTTTTCCCGTGTTCAAAGTCTCCATTTTCAGGAGTTTAGGTCCAGAACTGATTGACCTCGACTGAGGTATACACTAGAAGTGTTTGCTTTCCATGAATTTAGAATTCCTAATTATGCCTCCTTTTGCCTTTTGATGTATCAACGGGAAGTGCAACACTTTCTTTTTGGGTTTATTTCCTGTTTGAACTAGTGACAAATTTATGACAATCCTTCTCTGAGGATTATCTCTCAAGTTTGGCCTTTAGGGCTAGAGATAATTATTCGACATCGTTTGGTTGTGGAAGAGGGTGGCATGACCTTGTGGAGCATTACTCAAATGATCCTGCTCATCTCATCTGTAGATTGAAAGAACAAAGGTAAACTTCATCTCTAGTTAGAGAAGTCCTCCAGCCACGCCTTTGATTGATAAGTTACGACTACGGAAATTACTCACATATCAATTTACTTGAGAATAATGTGCACGATATTCGTGCTTTGTTGTTTTTAACTTACTAATTTGAAAAATCGTTTAGAAGAAGTTTCCATCAACTAGAGATGGCAGATGTGACCTGTACTCTTGTAAGTAGACTTTACTCGACACACGTGCGCGGAACAGTTCACTGTAAAGGATTCACCATTCACCGAAATCGAATACACATCCCGGATTTATGGAAATCGAATAAATGCGCATTATATTCATGTTTATGACTTACTAACTGAACAAACCGGTTAGAGGAAGCTTCCATCAATTGAGGATGTGGCCTATTATATTATAAATAGGGAAAATTTCAAATAAGGGCATGAAGTGTTCTCATTTTCTCAAATAAGGCTTGAAGTGGACATTATCTTAAAGGGCCTGAAGTGGCTAAATCGTCTCAAATAAGGACTTTTGGCCGGCCGGTGACTATTTCGGCATCGGAGAAGGAGTATTTTAGTCAAAAAAAATTTAAATATTTTTTTTATTTTTCTTTTCCTTTTTATTTTCTTTCTTCTTTTCCTTTTTCCTTTTTTCTTTTTCTCTCTTCCGTCCTGTGGCCTCCACCGGCCTCAGGCAAGGGTTGCCCTCACTGGCATCATGCAACGGCCGCCCTCGCTTGGGCTAGCGAGGGCGTTCCTCACCAAATCCGATGAGGGCGACCCTCAGCCTTGCCTTGCCTCGCCAGCCCAAGCGAGGGCGAGAGTTGCCCTTGCTGTCGTCGAGCAAGGGTCACCCTCGGGTGGGTGAGAGCTGCCCTCGCCAGCATCAGGCGAGGGTCGCCCTCGCTTGGGCTGGGAGGGTTGCCCTTGCCCGCGACCTCCGTCGGCGACTGGCGGAGGAAAGAAAGAAAAGAAAAAAAGAAAAAGAAAAAAACTGAAAAAGGAAGAAGGGAAAAAAATTCAAAAAAAAGTAAATGACGAAAATGCCCCTCAGCCAGCAAGGTCAAGCCCTTATTTGAGACTAATAAGCCACTTCAAGCACTTATTTGAGACAGTGTTCACTTCATGCCCTTATTTGAGAAAACAATAGCACTTCAAGTCCTCATTTAAGACAATATCCACTTCATGCCCTTATTTAAGAAAACAAAGACACTTCATGCCCTTATTTGGAATTTTCTCTTATAAATATACTCTACTTGACACACGTGCTTGGAACGGTTCATTACAGAGAATTGCGGTTCACAGAAATCCAATAATTTGATTACAAAATAACTCCAGACACCTCTTTTGGTGAGGTTAAAAATGCAACCTGGATGGAGGTAATTAGGTTGTTTCAAAAATTTAAACAAGGTTGGATTTCACTAGCAATCTCAAGAGACATTATAATATAACAAGTGTCACTTCAACCCGAAGCTTATAATCCCACTATCAATAACCAAGCACTGTTATTATATTTGTGCACTTCTCTCTTCACTGATTACAAGTAGCAAGAACTCTTTGGCAGAGAGAGTTACAAACAAACAATAGCAATTTCGCACAAGAGAGAAATAACAAGATGATGACAGAGTACTACTTTTCTCAATTTCCGCCAAACCCTTAAGCTTGCTTCGATATTCTTTTATAGATGGTTCAGCTCCAATCTGGTCGTTGGAGGGTCTTCAGGAGACTCAAAGAGCCGTTGGACTTTGATAGGAGCAATCGCCAATGATTAGGCCACCCATACAACTTGTTCTTCCAGACAAAAGCAAAGTTTCCCTAATTTGAGTCTGCTGCCGCTGTCAACAGTATGTTCCTCTGACTACTTGAACAAAATAGGCAAAAACTGCTCTGACTCAACTTCTGTCCTTTTGCCGCGAAGCCTTGTTAATGATTATTTTTCTTTTGTCTAACGTTTGAATCAAACGAGAAGTAGACAATGTCTTCTAAGTCAGGTGATGGAACCACACCAAGCATCTCCTAATCAGTTGATAGTAGGATGTGCCTTTAGCACTGACCCAATGAATCTATCCATGCAGCTCGCTAGGAGTCAACTTGTAATATTTTATCGAACGGTCTTCCATAGTATATGAAAGATCGGGACTCCATACAAATGTTCAACTTCATAAGGTCCTTCCAAGTTTTTCACGATCGCGTAATTCTATCAAACTTGTTCTCCCCTTATCAAGGTTCATCCATCCTGTAGACATCTATCCACAATCTGCTTAGGACACCATTGACATTGGCAAAGTCTTTTGTATATCAACATCACCTAATTATAATAGTATATGCATTTATATAATAAAAATGATATAAATAATTTTGTTATCGTCAAAATAGCATAGGGATGTTTTCCCTACATCTTTAATACACATTGATGTTTGGCCTTTTTTCAATTTGAAGTACAAAATTTGTGCCTGTTGAGGATTATATTGGACCTTCTAAAAATGTCCACACAATAGGCAATCAATCAGCACATAAATATTATAAAGTTTTATCATGTTATTAATAGCAATATTAACATCCTTTATAAGAAGATTGCTACGAAGAGCTTTGACTATCAAGAATCGATCCTTATTCATACCATATATAAAGCAAAGAAATCACCTACATACTTTTGAGGAATCTCAAATGTTTTTTCTGCTCCGAATATCCTCGGTTAATTATTTTAAATATAGTTTATCCAATGACAAATGCGCTAATTTATAATTATATTTAATTTCTCTCGCATGATTCAATATTAATATACAAAAATTTTCTATCCGACAACAACTTTCTAAAAAAAATTCAAATAGTTACATATTTTATCTTTCTACGTATACAATTCCTTTGGATAGCGTAGTGTTCCAAACAATGTCTTTTCATTAGGGAAAAGTGCCAAAAAAGCTTTAAACCTTTTGTATTTGTGCCAATTTAGTCTTAAATCTTTTTTTGGTGCCAATTCAGTCCTAAACCTTTTGCATTGGTGCCAATTCAGTTCTAAACCTTTTTTTTGTGCCAATTTAGTCATAAACCTTTTGCATTTGTGCCAATTCAGTCCTAAACATTTTGTCTTTGTGCCAATTTAGTTCTTCCGATAAATTTTGGCCGGATTTTGCTGACGTGGACGACGGCCGACTGGTCACCGGCGCTGATGTAGACAACTTTAATAATATTTTATTTTTTTTGAATTTTTATTTATTATTTTTCTTTTTTCTTTTCTTTTTTTTTTCTCCTCCTCTCCCTCCAGCCGATCGCCAGACCAGCAACCTGCCAGAGGCCGGCGCCGTCGAGGCTCGCCCTCGCCGGCGGCTAGGCAAGGCTCGCCCTCGCCAGCGACGGCAAAGGTGAGCCTCGCCATGGCTGAGCGAGGCCCGACCTCACCAGATCCGGCGAGGTCATGCCTCGGCCAGCCATGGCAAGGCTCGAGCCCTCGCCAGCGGCCTCCGGCGAGGGCTCGAGCCTCGCCATGGCTGGGCGAGGCCCGACCTCGCCGGATCTAGTGAGGTCGAGCCTCGTCGGCGGTTGGGCGAGGCACGACCTCGCCAGATCTGGCAAGGTCGGGCCTCGTCCAGCCATGGCGAGGCTTGCCTTCGCTGGCGAGGGCGAGCCTCGCTGGATCTGGCGAGGTCCAGCCTCGCTGACGGCTGGGCGAGGCACGACCTTGCCGGATCTGGCGAGGCCGCCCTCACCAGTGGCCAGCGAGGGCGAGCCTCGCCAGTGGCCGGCGTGGGC